ATATCCTTAGAAGGGAAAGTGAAAGGGAAATATGACTGATAATCCATTAATTCCTCTGTTTGCTTTTTTGTTTTTTCTCCCCAGCTAGTGTTCCCATAGCTGAAGTCTTCCAAGCCTTCCTTGTCACACATTCATTAATAGATCTGTATTACGGAGCATATTTGTGTTCCCTCCCTCCCCCCATTCCCTAGCCATGAGCAGACAGTCGTTCTCAAGAATTCAAACTACTTCGAGTAGTAGCTTGGAGTATTTAATCGCTATCAGTGTAGACAGATGGATCAAGTGGAATTTTGCAGGGCTATATTCCATCTCTTTTATTATAGAATATTTTCGTGAATGATTTGAATGTATGCTTATATCATTTGAAGACGATGCTAAATTCGTATGCTGTAGAGAACAGGATTAAAATTGGAAATGTTCCTAACAAACTGAAAAGCTTGTAATGAGCAGAGCATAGTGCAGCGAGCGCCAAGGCTTCTCTGAAGTGGCAGTAATCAGTAATCAAGAACAAGACGCAGAATAACTGGCTAGACAGCAGTTCTTCTGAAAAGCAGCTAGGTTTTTTTAGTGGACCACAAAGTAAACATAAGCCAGCACAGTGCTGGGCTGCTAAGAGAAAAATGCAGATATGCTGTTAAGAGAGAAGTTGAGATCTCGGCTTGAGTACTGTGTCTACTTTTGGGCGCACTTAAAGAAAGACATGAGCCAAGAGGAGGGAGACCAGAAAAGGGGGTTGGGGGGAAGGGATCTGTGTTCAAGAAAGCAGGACCTGTGTTGAAAGACTGAAACATTTGGGTTGTTTAGTCTGGAGAAGAGAAGGCTGAAAGGAGATGTAGAATGTATAAAAGAAAAGAATAAGCTGCATTCATTAGAGCGCAAACTGGAGTAGGGGAGACTTTGGCTGTTTTCCCTGACAACTAGCCTACGTAGAGTAGATTAACCTGGGTGATCTGCGCTTGTAGGGGATTTTAAAAGGAGGGTGGATAGACTTCTGCCAGGACTAGCAGAAGGCCACCTAGGCCTTTGCAGGACGAGGGAGCAATGCACGAAGCGCATGTTGGGGTCCCCTCTTGACCTGTGTTTCTATAGCTCTGGGAAGTACTGGGTGTTTTTTGTGTGTTTTTTTTCCTCTCCCCTTTTCATTTTCTAGAAGCATATGGGACAATGGGGTGAAAAGTTAGATTTGATCTAGGCAACTGGGTTGAGTGCAGTTTGAGATCAATTGAACTTAAGTGTGAATTAGCCTGATTATTTTATAAATTAATTAAATCTGTAGCTTTAATCAGAAAGGTGCAAATTCTTTGAAGGAGGGGGAAACAAAAGGGCAAAGGATTTTAACCCAATCAGGAAGACTGACTTTAATACAGATTAATCAAAAGGCTGGGCCTTTTATAAACGAGGTAAGTTTAGATGAACAACTTGGAAGGAAAAGCGTTACCACTTGATTTTATTAGAACTACTCAGAAACTGGTGGTTGTATAAGTAGAGGTTCACTGGTGGCCTAGTCTAGAAGTGGACAGACCTGCGGTCTCTCATTTCAGGAGCTGCTACTAATTTTCAGACCAGGTGAACACTACTGTGGAGCACAGTATCAAGACTGGAAGGTAATCTCTTAACCAGCGTGTACTGGTCATTAGATATTATTGAATGCAGGCAGTGCTCAAAGATATTGTGAGAACTTCTGGACCAATTTGGGAGGGAGGGGGTTGGAGGAGTCGAGTGGGAGACGTGGTCTTGTTAAGCCTTGCTTCCTTTACAAAGTCTTAATTTTTTTTTAAGTTACTTTATATATAGGCATAGGCTTGTCCTCATTTAATTGTAAATTAAATATGATTAATAACAGTATTTTGGGATGAGTGACTATTTCCAGATTAGTATTGTATTTCAGCTGTTCAGAATGGCTTAAAATTTGTACTCCTTTGGGTAACAGTTGCCAAAGAGGACAAGTACGCAGAATTGAAGTATAGTTGCTCTGAAGGCCTGTGTTATGCTGTGCGTGAAAAGCCTGCCTGTTGAAGAGGGAACCCATATCTTTTACTTACAAGGTGTACTTTGGGGAGTTTTCAATAAAGTGATTAATGAAACGTGTAGCAAGGGTAGCCATTGATTTTAGCCGAGCAAGCAATGCTTGTGGTAAGCATATAGTTTCGAATGTTCTCCTCTTGAGATGTAAAGCCTTTCTGAACTGGCCAAACAGAAGGCATTGCCTCCTCTTGCACAACTGCTGTGCCTGCTGTACAGGGAGGGACTGCAGTTCCTGGCAGCAGCCTCCTGCAGCAGCCTCCGGGGTAGCGTGGTTTTACACTGCCCCTTACTGGGGCTCGCTCATAGTGCAAGAACTGAAGGAGCTCTGGATGTCCCAATGTTTGTTCTGTTTTGTTTTTGTTTTTTCCCAAGCGATGAGTTTAATATAATATAGTCCTCTCTAGAATATATATTATTTGACTATATTATAGTCAAAATGTATTTCTTGCAATGAAAGTTGGTTGGCAGTTAATTTTAGTATTTCTGGATGTTCAGGTGTGTTTCGTTGTGTAACTTAGGTGTGTTTGAAATCTGGTGATAATGGCCTTTGCAGAACCAAACTGGTAGAACCCATGAAAGTTTGAATGAACTGGGATTTGTCTTTCATTTTTAAACTAGTAGCCAATAGGCTTGACTTTGGACCACATTGGCACTGCATTGCCATTCGTTCTGCAGATCAAAAAAGCTGAAAGAGCGAGGATTTAGAACCAGAGGGAGTTCTGTCTGTTATTCCTGGGAATTGAGATAGAGCTGAATTTGCTAGATAAACATAAAACAACCTCACCATTCAGCTTTGTTCACCGAGAATAGAATTCTCTTTAGAATTGAGAACATTTTGTTTAGCTAAATGGGTTACAAGGTTAAAATGATAAGCTGTGGAAGGAGGGGGAGGAGGAGGAAGTTAAAACAATGCAGTGAATTTTTCAGCTTGAATCTGAAAGGTGACTAAACTGACTAATTAGTTCTATTCCCATGATCTGTGGCACAACTAGAGATTTTATTCAGTATCTTACAGTACCAAGATGGAGTTCAGTCAGTGGAGTTTTGGTATGTAATGTAAATCTCCTAGCATTCTCTAGATCCTAAACAATTAGCATTTTGTTATGGAGGAGCAATCTTTGAAGTGCTTTTAACTGATTGATGCAAGTAATTGTATTATCAAAACTGAGCTTGAAAGTATAAGTATCCTTATAATTCATAGAACATTGAGCTTATTTTGCATGACAGCTTTCATCTGCTTGTATCTGTTGTACTTTTTGCTGAGGTGTTTGGGGGAGGGATTTTCAGTGGTATCTGAAATTCAGTAGATGTCTTGTGGGAGTCAAAAAAGAATACTAAGCTGGCTGGATTCGCAGCTCCCCTTGTGAGGCACGGTTAAGCACTCTGTGTGGGTACCAATTGCTCAGTTAGGTTAAAGGATTTGTGAAATGCCTAAATGCTCTCTGACAATCTGGCTGTATATTCATAGTATACAGATTTTTGAAACTGGTGATCTGTGTTGGCTTAACTCAATGAAGGAATAGCTCTGCTGGGGCATTTATTAAAAGGCAGCAGGAGTAGCACTTTGTTATTCCTTCACTTATTTCACGTTACAGTCCTTCCTGTGCAGGAACTGCAAGCTTCTTTAAAGAGTAAGGCTGGAAGAGGACAGAGGGTGAGGGATTTGGGGGTAAGGATCCTGGTAAGAAGGAATGACCACTAAACCTACAGCAGAAAGACAGTGACACTCTGGTGCTCCAGGCGTTGAGTGGGGGAAAGGACAAAGATGTCCTGGAGAAAAATGCGTTTATTCTGGCATTGCTCAGGAGTCAAGAGTTGGTACTGTAAGAAAGAAATACACCAATAAAGCATTAATAAAAAGTGTTTTACCGTAAGCTTTTGGCCCCAAAAAAGAGTCCATAGCACTGACAGTCTATCAGCCTTTTCAGAGACTAGATTCTAGGGGAGATTGTTGGTTTGAAAGTACTGTTTCATTTGGTTGCACAGACCAACTTTGAGTCACTGTGGCCTCATGGCGTAGCAGGTATTCATGAGCTACAGTGTGTAATCATTGCTATGAAGAATTCCCATAGTCTAAAGATGATAGTGATAAGAATCAGTCTCTTCTAAAACACCTGCATTTGGACTTTTCCAACTAATTTTAGAGACGTGGACCAGCAGAACTTTAAGTGCCTAAAATGATCCTTTTTATAGGCCCGTTTTTCAGAAGCGTCGTTGGTGACAGCTTAGGAGAGTTCCAGCCCTAAATAGGGGTATCCAAAGTTCTCAGATCCAAGGTGGTCTCCATTTCAAAAAACTTTGTCTGTGTGACTCTGTGACGCTTTTTGGGTCTTTCTGAAACCTTAATGTAATTGAGTCCTCATGTTTTAAATGTGTGTCTGCATGTGCTCTTGAAGGCCTGCATTCTGAATGCCAGAATAGTAAGAAGAAAGACTGAGATAGTGATGTTTATCAAATGAACTATGCTCAGCAACTGTGTCTAAGAAACTCTGACTTTTTAAAAAAAAACAAAAAAAAACAAAAAAAACCCTATGAAGGCAGGGAAAGGTTAGCTAACCCTTGCTAATCTATACCCTTTTATCCTGCGTAATGAAGGGAAGCAACATCATAAAGCTAATCTGCAGGCTGGAACTGTCAGTACCATTAAAAATTTTTTTGCAAAAACAAGACTGAATGGACCATGAAAAATAAGTTAATGATAACCTGGTTTTTTATCTCATGCAGGTTTTCTCAGGTTCTGAACATAGTAGGACAGTTGGTTGCTAACTGACCCGGAACTTGTGCTCTGCTTTAGAAAGATCTGCAGTGAGAGACTTTCACCTTAACACATCTGCGAGTTTTCTGTCTCAGAAGAAAGGGACTTCATGTGTGAGGGTCGTCCAAGATGATGATGTAACTCAGATAACACTCAAGCTATCCTGAGAATAACTGAGGCTTTGTAAGAGGCTTTTCCTTTTTTTTTTTTTGATAACTCGCCCTCTCAGAATCTACACACAAGATGCCAGCCAAGACACCCATCTACTTGAAAGCTGCTAACAATAAGAAAGGGAAGAAGTTCAAACTAAGGGATATCTTGTCTCCTGATATGATCAGTCCACCCCTTGGAGATTTTCGTCACACCATACACATTGGAAAAGAAGGGCAACATGATGTTTTTGGGGATATCTCCTTTTTGCAGGGAAACTATGAACTCTTGCCTGGAAACGAAGGAGAAACTAGAGTTACCCAGTCTGGTGGCCACAGTGAATTCCTAAGGGCAAACAGCACTTCTGAATCCATGTTTACAGAAACTCCGTCACCAGTGCTCAAAAATGCCATTTCCCTTCCTGCCATTGGGGGTTCTCAAGCCCTTATGCTGCCCTTATTGTCACCAGTGACATTTAATTCAAAGCAAGAATCTGTCAGGCCATCCAGAAATCCTAGGCTTAGCTGTGAGCCAGTAATGGAAGAAAAATTGCAGGAGAAAAATAAACAGTTGGAGGATGGAGAAATATACAAAGATGATATATGGGAGCAAAATGGTTCTTCATCGCATTTTACCAATGGTAGAGACAGTCACTCATCCAGCCTTTCCGAACGATGCACTGATTGGCAAACAGTTGATTTATTTGATGACAGTCAGCTTTCGTGTGAACTAACCAAGACAGAGACTAAGTCAGAAGAATCCCTTTCAGATCTTGCAGGCTCTCTTCTCTCATTACAACTTGACTTGGGACCTTCACTTTTGGATGAGGTCCTCAATGTAATGGACAAAAATAAACCTTAGATCTGGTACTTCTTGCTTCTTTATAAGTCATTCATGTAACAACAAAAAACCACAACTCAAGAGCAGAGACACTTAATAATCGGCTGTATTTGCAGTTGTTCGACGGGTTTTCTAAAAATGTACTTAAAATACTATTTTTTTACCTATTGTTTTTCGTGATTTTTATTACAATAAATTCTCACAGCAGGAGGGTAAATTTTAATAACAGTTTTCAGCAAATAATATAAAATGTTTTAAGTACCAGTATTAACAATCAAACTTAAGAAAGACAGTTTGAGGATGATATTGATTGTGACATTTGGTTAGTTCACTTCTATGAGCTTCTGAATATTTGAGAATCTGTAAGCGTCAGAAAGGAGACCGATATTAATTCTTCACCTTTATAAATTATTGCAACATCACTTTACATGTAGGCCTCTTTCTAGAACCTTATGTTTGGGAGTTTGGTTGTGTTTTTCTTCATTTTTCATTGTACCATTTCTGTTATACCTTCACTGTAACTATTTCCTCTATTTTCTACTGCTCTGTGTTCAGGTGTGAACAATTTGAAGGCTCTTTCAGCTTGAACATGTGGTCCAGAGTCACAGCTGCTTTAAATGAGCATGCACAAATTTAAACAAATGGAGGCTTTGGAGCTGATATTGTATATGAAATCATATGTTGTAAACAGGTAGCACATGCAAGATACTATGGTTAAATTATTTTAAAAGTTGAAATATATTTTTTGTGTGCATCTTGGCGTTTTACTGCAGAGCCTACACATACAGTATCTCATCAAAATAGTTGCTTGACATTATTGGTGCTCTTCTGAAAGTTGTATAATTGTGTGTTTGAAAAGAAATATGTATTGATACTCCTAGCTTTTTTTCTTCATTTATTGCCACACATGCTTAAACTTGCAACCGATTATTTTAATTTTTGAAGAAGGCACTGGTTATTCACAATGCTTGATGCGTGCTGCAACAGCCAATGTTTTGGGAAATGTGGATCATTTAATACAGTACCTACATGGATTGCATAGATATTTTGTGCAATACAATAAAAAAAATCTTTAAACTGCTATGTCTTTGTGATTCAGTACATAGCCTCATCAAAACACTGAGTTTTCTCTTCTGCTGTAGTGAGACAGACCGCAGCAGAATTGCAGAAATACGAGATGGAGGGGCCGATCAGTTCCACTATCTTTATTCAGTTAACTTCACTTCTCCAATGCAATTTACTTCCTGAAGTAGAAGGGACAAGCTCCAAGCAGGTAGGATCCTCTGGGACATGCGCTGATTTCAATAAGTAGTAGGAGACAAAAGGATGATATTTTGGTCTCAGTAAAGTTGATGAAAATTTCTGCAGCTTTTGGTGAAGTCTTTAGGTAAATCCTGACAGAGTTTGTAAATAGTTTTTCATTAGATAACCACGTTGCATCTGTATCTTCTTATCAGAACATGTAAGTCATGAATGACTTAAAGTATTTTTTATCTCTATCCTCAAAAAAATGTGGGGAGTCAGTGCCAACTAATTTCATTTCTGCAACCTGTTTCAGAAGCAATTCTGCCCGTCACAGTTGCTACCCCTTTTTCCAGTCAAGGAGTTATATTATTGTGAATTAATGAGACATATGGATGCTGCCTCCCATATTATTCTTGCAAATGAGGACCTGAGATGTAGATGGCCAAGAGCTATGTTTATTTTTAAGATAATACTTAATTGCCTTTAACTTCGTATTTTCTGTGTATAAGCTTAGATCAAATTTCCAGTGGTTTCATGCTGTAAGAATGTGGCTCTGTGACTATAGCGCTTTTAGCGTTTTAGAAAGCAGGTTCAAGGCTCTCTCTGGCCAAATATTTCTTGCAGGATCTTGGGATTTAAAACCCAATGAGAATTTAGGTGCCAAAACTTTCAGGGGAAAAAAATCTGTCAGTCATTGGCATAGGGGAAGTTGGGGTGAAATAAGGAGTTAGACACTTTCTGTGCGGGCCAGGTTGAAGTATCGTTATTATTAGAACATTAGAAGTATTTGCTGAATGAAAAGTCAGTATCTTGCAGGACAGCAAGCGTTTTCTAGAAAGCAGAATCTGCAGTCAGGTTATTTTTGCTTTTGTCATGTTTTATAATTGGTTTCCTGGCTTAGGGCTGTAAAATGGGTCACGGTTTCAGGAGGTTTTGGTCTGTATTATCCTTTTGATATGACTGCTCTTCTACAACTTGTAAATGCTTAATTCTTATGAGGGTAGTCTGAACTAAAATAATAACAATCACTCCAGGCAAAAAGAACCACAGTGATGTGCAGGAGAACCTTTGCTCAAGTCAAGAATGGGACTTTTACACTGGCAAAGTAAATTGCATCTTTCTTAAAGATCATTTTCCTCAGAAACTGGATCCTTGAATTGTTCAGATTTGCTAAGTCTTATATGTAAAGACTTTGAACACACAGAAGTCAAAACACGCCTAGTTACTGTTCTGACATGGTCTTCTATACAGTACTGTTCTGTCTAATCTGGCCTCATCGGGCATCTTAGCTGTCACAAGGCAGGTTGTCAGATCAAAATCTTGGATTTCTGGTTTATCAGAAGTTCTGACTTCCTAAAGCCTTGATCAAATTTTGAATGAAAACTAGAATTTTCTAGGGGGAGTTCTACTGCGATTTCCTCAAAACCAAGATACTACTGTAAGCTGGCCTTGGAACAAAGGGCTAGAATGGATTGCCTTGAATATCACATCAATTTTGTGTGATCATAGGAATAAGTGTGCTAACTGTTGCAGCTACACCGAAAGGTCTACAGGTGCTTCACAACTCATTCTAATATGCCAGAAAATACTTGCCTATCTCTTCTACTAACTGAAAAGATGCAGTGAAGGTCAAAATATTTTAAATGTGCTAGAGGAAGATGGCAGGAGACATCAAGTTAGCTGCTTGGTCCCTGCATGAGTATTTGCTAAATTCCACATCTGTACAATCCTATTAACTTGACTCTGCCCCATACAATACAGAAACATACCTGAAAGTCTGATAGCCACCCAGTTCAAGAAACCCTGAACCCCTGTCCTGGTTCCCCTGCCACACTGACTGGGATGATCAGTGTTGTGCTGAGAATGGCAGTGGGATGCAACAATGCAAGTTAAATGCCAGGAGGTGCACGAGCCTGCGTTCACCCTCTTTCTCTAGCAAGGACCAACCTCAAGTGCTTTAGAGGAAATTGAAAAGCAAAACTAACCTGCAAGCTAGATCACAAATCAAGGATGGCAATGGTCTTAAGAGGAGATTAGCACAAACGCTGAGGTAGGGGTTTAATGCAGTCCAAACAAACAGTTTCTTTTCAAAGTGCCCTGTCTAGGTGCATCAAGTAACGAATGACCTCAATAGCAAGCTTACTTTCCTTCCTCCATTGCCAAAGCTATTTTATGTTATTGAAATTTGCTTGTTATTGACATTTGCTTAAGTTCACACTCTTCAAACTTTCAAATACAGAAGGCTTCACCTTTGTTTCATTTCACCTGGTTTACCCACACCGGTGAAAGTGGATACAGGATAGAACCATTTGGATTTGCTGACAAATAGGTATGAATAACTCTGTAGTACGTGGACATGACAGAAGTGGGCCTCAAATCTAATATAAATGTTTCAAGAGACTGATAAACAATACCTTGTTTAAGGATGAATTTACTTCATAGTCCTTTTCCATTTTTGCATTATTGGTTTTAAAGGGGGGAAGCTTGTTATCAGGATTAGAGCTGGAAGGATAGTCTCTAATTTGTGCAGGAAATTCTCAGCAAGTGACAAGAATAGGCTGAGGCCAAGTTTCAGACAAAACACAGGAGGACTTGGCTTCTTGAAGGTATATCAGCTCAAAAATGTTTCATTCTTGCCAGAATTAGACAGAGAAGGAACACTTGAGATGGCTGCTTTTTTGAGAATGTCAGTCACGACCAGAATCAGAAGCAGTTGTTTGATGTGTCAAATATAAATAATCTAGATGCAAGCGTCACAAGGACGCTGTTGGACCTTGCATAACGAGGCCAAATAAAGTTAGGATGACGCAAGGGGAAGCTAAGACAGATATGCACTAGACTTGATTCCAAGGAAAACAATTAACAGTTGCTGTAAGCAAATTAATTAAATTAGCAGTGACCTAACTCTACTCTGCTTGCATCCATTTGCTTTTCACATGAACATGAAGTACATTAGTACATCTGTTTTCTATAAATGCTTTCATTTTATGTGTTTTTTTTAAGGGATTTTCTGAGTCCAAAGGTAAGGCTGGATCTATCGCTCCTCTCTAGTCACAGTTTTACAAGTGCTAGAAAATCAAGGAAGTACTTAATACTTTGTTTATTTTTTTAATATTGTAAGCTTATTTTTTCCCTCAAAAGGGCTGATTTTCTGCTGGTATGAGTTAGCACCACTCCCAAAAAATCATGGATTCTGATTTATACCGGGGGAAAGTTTCCCTTTTTTTTTTCACAGGTACATCATGGTAGTATGGCCCTAAGCAGTCAGGTCATTTCTTTTCCTGATCGTCTAAGACAACTCTTTCTTAGCTTGTGCTCAATGAAACTAGAACTTTAGCTGTGCAGATGAGTGATTTTTAGCCTGTGCTATATTTTCTTTGTTTCTTAAGGAATTGATACATTTGGGAACCTTTTTTCCATTAGAACCTCTTGTCGGGGGACTCCCTGGGGGCTCCCCAGTGCCAGGGGCTCCCGGTGGTGGCAGGGCCCAGCCTGGCTGCCAGAGCCTGTCCTGCTGCCCCACGAGGGAACAGGGCCGCTGGGGGCAGCTGGGGCAGCCCCAGCCCCAGGAGTCGGGCACCGCTGCAGGGACAGGGTTGGGCCAAGGTCGGGCTGGGCCGTTGACTGCGGGGTGGGGTTGAAAAAAAAAAGGGCGGGAGGGGCAGTTGACTGCGGGTTGGGGTTGGGGCTGGGGCCCGTGGCAGGTCCACGGAGGGGCAGGAGACCAGCACTGCTGCAGCATCATGGGGCAGGGACCAACAGTCCCAGCCTGGGCTGAAATGGGGACCTGGCCTGGGAAGGGTGGGAGGAGTTCCCGGGGGAGGCCTATTAGTGCACTCAGGGCCCTAACACCTCTGGCAGATTTTTGTGGGTAATACTTTTGACCTGAAAGAATGATGGAGCTTATTTTGCCTTTAGTAACTCATAAATAGTTGAAGCCATCTACCATGCTATTAGATTTTGGTGCAATATGAATAACGGGGAGTTGATCCTTTCCCTATTTGCTACGTACTATGGAACCATCAGGCAAAGAAAAGTCAGCCTAAATTTACCTATTTACCGAATTGCTGAATCTATTCCAGGGCACCTAATGCCTCATTAAAAGTGCTTCAGCTTTTCCAGATGAAGTGCTGATCAATAAATCTACTTCTCAAGAAGAAAGCTGTTCACGTATTTTGCAGAGGTACCCATATCCTGGTAAAATTGACAGGTTAGATACCCCATGTCAGCAGATAACCCAGCGGGGCTTTTGCCAGTCCCATCTTGCCTCCTTTCAGCTGTCAGTGCCCTGAGGTCACAGTCCCCATATTCCCAGAAAGTGATCACCTTTCACTATAAGATACTGTCTCATGCATTTTTGAAGGCTCATTGGACCTGAGCCTTTCCTTGCTTCCTGCCAGACTGCTACAAATCCAGCCTCCTCCACATCTCATCAGTCAGCTCACTCACACCTAATGAAAGTAAGTCCAGTCAGGACCCAGCCCCCACCCACAACCAGCCACGGTGGAAACCATGTGCTGAGCAATTATGGCCCCCAGAAATGATCCGTTGCAATCCCAGCTGGACTCAAGCAAACTTGCAGGGGTTCTTGGGAGGAGACACCCAGGAATGGGCCCATCACTGGGAATGGGAAGAATAATGCCATCTATTGTGCCAAACACATGGACCATGCCTAACCCTTCCAGGGTCACTCACAAGAAAGTCATGTAGAATAACAGCTGCCCCCAATGTGTGAGCGTGTGTCCCTCTACCATCAATCGTGTTCTTGGCTGACAGACAGATTCAGGCTCTGAATACGAGGGATATCGATGGGTGCACACTAGGGATGAGCT